GGTGGCGGCAACGGCGATGATTAGGGGATGCTGCGATTAGGGATGGTATTCTTGAATTTTTTATTACACTTCTAGTATAATGTGAATACCAACTGACAACTACCAAGTGCCACACCTATATAATTCCTTATACTCATATACATATAATATGTTTAATAGGTATATAATATTTTGTGCACATTTTCTTCGAGAATAATAGAAAGTATAGGTATAAGTATTTAATATTTATTACAGCATGTATAAATAATAAAATATATAATATGCATCACGCTTATTTTTTCCACGCGCATATACAAAATAATAGCAACACACACACACACACACTTGAATAGCGCACACAGATATATAGGTATATATCTATATATGTTGTAATATACGTCTCTCATTCGAACGTTAATTGATTCGGACTCGACCTCCGCACACGTGTAAGCTCGCGGTGAACAATCCACCACGTTTATATTATACATATGCTTATTTATAATAGTAATACAATTGTAGATATAGCTAGCTGCTGCGGCGTTCTTCTGTGCGTGTGTTTCGCCGGGCGCAGAACGTCTCATCTTGGACTCGAGCCCTCCGCCTGCACGTCACGAAATCACTGGTCCGCGAATTCCACCGGTCGGACTTGACAGTCTCCACTCCGCAGACCGAACTTCCTTTGATTTACCGTGCGTAGGTATTATACATAGATTATATATTTCGTATACACACACACACACACATGCATCAGATATACTTGTTGAACGGGCGCCGACCGTTCAAATTAGGGACACATGTCAACACGTGTGTGATGTGTGAGACAGAGACTTGAGAGTTGATATGTAAGTATGTATAATATGTACACGAAACCCACACGCCACGTCGGCCACGTGCTCTTCTGTCACTGCCGAGTATATTATGTATATGCGACTGCACGATGATATGGGATGATCGCGTCTCTGTCAATTAACTAAACGCGCCGGATTAAAAGTGCGACGGATGCGCCCGCAACAAGTGCGCCCCCGGTCCAAGTATATATCTAGGATCACGAATAGAATAAGCTCTGTGGTTTGTATTGACAGCGCTTGAAGATTATAATATTAATTATACCATCATCACGTTATTAACAACTAATTGTATGTCCAATAGCTACCGCGGACTTTGTTTAATAATAAWAAAAAAAATTGCATATAAATAATTTTAATTTTGAATTCAAATTCAAATTATCGTACAATAAAACATTTTTATTAAGGTATTGGTCCTATTATTTTAAATAATTAAAAATATTTGTCAAAATACAAACATGTCTATGGAATATCCGAATATGGATACATGTATATGAGTACCTACATAATATATATTAATAATATAAATTAATATATATAGTATATATGTATTTAAAGTCATACCTAACAAATCGTTAGGCAATATATAGTAATATAAATTAGACAGTACAAAATAAGTGTACAATATAGTACTAAGAACTGTAGTTAGAACTGAATTATCTTTAAGTTCTATTCTTTTGTGATAGGTAATATGATTTATTTTTACATACTCATTTMTATAGATACCTACCAAATGTCTAATATTAATGAGTTTTTTACAAAGATATAGTTTTGCACACTAAAATTTTTTAAATTTATAGAAAAGTCCTTATTGTTTTTATTTGTAAATTGTATTCGAGTTTATATTATGCAACTAGTGCATGYACACCCAAGGGGGATAAGGCGTCCACAACCTTCCTATTCGAAATGTTTTCCTCTGCGAAAATGTAACATTACGAAAGGCTCYTCTTCTTTAGAATTCGTGATAGTTTATAGTACCTATGCAATTTCAGAAATATTATTAACAACACAACCCTTTAAAAAATCCTATGTCTGATATTACCAATTTTAAATTATATTTATTTCATTATGTCATATAAATTGTGTGCATTCTTAGTGAACATTATTAAAATTCTAAATCCATAATAGTATTATAGGTATAAATGGCATGTTCAAACAATCAAAAGTAAAAAATAAACATCGATTAACGAGGAAAATARAGCAGGGATCTAAGTTGATATTTTTTTCTTAGAAATAATAAAGAAAACTGAAAAGTTTTTAACATATTCTATTATCCAACAATATATAATGTATACCTGTCCCAAAATATCGTTCATTGGTCGATTTTCGTAAAAACATATTATTATGATTTACCCATGTACATACTTGTACATATTATTARGTATGTATATGATAAGTTTATATATAGATAAATACTAAATAGTTAATATATTTTAGTATACCTAAAATTTTACTTATTTTTACTTATTCTACAAGAACCTTATTTACCTATTGCCTATTAGGTATATGTTTCATATATTATGTGCTTACTTGAACCCTAGCTTCTGACAGACACACTCTTCTTGCTAGTTCCTCTCTGACAAACGCGTCTGGATAATGAGTCCTTTCAAACACTTTTTCTAATGCTCGTAATTGACAACTCGAAAATGTTGTACGATTTCTTCTCGGCTTACTTTTCCGTTGACTGTCAGTTTCTGAATTTGTTTCTAAGAAAAAAATGTATTAAATGTTATATTCGCTTAATAACTAACGGCCACCTTGCCACCGGCACCAGATATTGGTTTCTATATTACATTATATATTTATATATAGGTAATAATAAATAATAATAGATAATCACATTGCCACATAGGTATATAAATTAAATATATTTTTTATTAAATGTTGAAGAATAAACGGACACGTGGTAATGTGGCATTTATTACTGATCATACCCAAAATACYCCGCATGCTATAATCAGTTCTACATAATAAATAGGATCTGGAGTAGCCGGTGCCATACCTAATGCCTATATACTAGCTTACTGCAGTTAATCATTTGAAACAAACTATACGCTGATTTTCAATAAATGCCTAATTGTTTTTTTCAAAATTATTTTCCACTAATTAAATGCCTAATCGTATATTTTCGCTCTTTTTTAAAATTCGCGGTTATTGTTTCACTATTTTGGCCGGGTACCCAACTATTTAAGTATATCTTTTTGATTTTGTTAAATCAAATACAGTTTTTTTCCTGTATCTGTTCTAACACATTACATATTATAGGTCGAAGGTGTCAAGGTGTGTATATATAAATATATTCAGGCATCCATTGCTGTGTTAAAAGCACATTATTTTAAACTTTTTGAAATTTACATCCCACAAACGATGAAGACATGAAGTAAAATAAKCCTTAATTGGCTTAAATATTTTCATTAGTGCATATAAATTAAGYCCRCCGTGAAATTAAAGCGTTCCACCGCTATGGACAAATATTATTATTATTTTAATTACCYCAATGAGAAGTCATGTAATAATGTTTCGYTCATTCTTCATACCCATATAACCATTTTAAGAACAATGATTATATTTATAAAGCAATCATTGTTTATGTTCTTACTTCCAAWTTTTTTTAAATTATCAATGATTATGATATAGTTATATATTATATTGTACAATGCATACAAGGTGTATCAGRATGACTAGATAAATGAAATACGCAGTTTTATTCTTGGTAATATATATATTAATACTAACACCAAGTGTAGGTAHTTAACAATAATGTATTTATATGATGTGTAGAACTAGAAAACTGTTACTAAAATTAACTGTATGGAAATTATTTGTCGTTTTATAGGTACTTTATTAAGATAAACCAATGAGATACAACTAAATTGATTTTGTCAAATATCCAAAGTTAAAAATGAAGAATCGTAATTAATAAGATGAATAAAATATTTTATGTGTTTTTTAAGACCGAATGTATTTCACTATTTCAGCAACTCATTAGTAGTGTTTTTAAATGTAATTTAAAACATCTGTTTGAATTAGCAAACATACTTTAATTTACTCGTTTCTTTTTATTTAACAAGCTTTAATATAAATTAATCATATATTATTTGATTGTTTACATTAATAATTTTAGTACCTACATAATATAATGTTAGTATAATTTCTCACCCACTCACAACCCGTCTTCAACCGTGATAGTTTTTTATTATCAATTATGTTTTATTTTTAATTAATGGGGTAAAAATTAATTTAATAACGTAGGTATATGTATATTATATACACATAGTCGAGAGGTTTAAATTTACGCGAGACTAATGCAATGGAACATGTCCAATGACACAAATGACGACGTTAGTGTTTTGGTCTATTAACCATATATTAGTTAACCGGCCTAATAAATAACATTAACGAAAACATAAATCAGACGCATTTTAACAACATCCCGGGCAAGGCGTGTGCATGACGTTTTTAAATTATTATGCATTTCCATGTGCCACCGTGATGAACCGTTCTTTTAAATACTTTTTGAAAATGTTCGATATAAGTTCCTTGTTTGGTTATTGTTTTTTGTCTTTTGTCTTTTCCTTGGTGTCCTTGTCATCAATTACATCTATTATGTATAAAGAAAATTGAGGATATTGAATTATAATATAACTGTATGAACAATACAACTCGAATATGCAATAAGTAATAATATAATTTTCATAAAAATCTCAAGCATAATCAAATAAATCAAATGGTAGGTATGCATACATTAAAATAACAAAAATATTTTATTTTCGTCTCAATACTGTCGTAATATTCAATACTTATTGTATTAATGATGATATAAATTGTATGGCTTAAATCTGGCGTGTGACGACAATAACTGCAGAAGTAAATATAATATAGGTACCTATAATAATAATATGATATGTAAACGTAATAATCAAATTAATAATACTTAGGCACTACAGCGTATATTATGACAATTAATTTTAAAAAATGGTATATTAATTAATAGGAAATTTACTTGCGAAAACAACTGGTGCATTTTATAAATTATAATAGATATTATTCAGTATGCAATTTAACAGTATAATACATAGACACCTACTTTAAGCATTTCGCATGCCAATATAAAAAAGAAAAAGCAACAGACAAGGTAGATCATTATTGAGGAGAAGATAGTTCGCTTATATACATTTGGCAAGCTTCGAGCAATTAAAAATCGTTYGATCAATCGTCGGGGCAAGTAAACACGGATTCCTGACCTTTAAGTCACGGGCAACGAGACGTCGAAAACGTGGATGAGCGAGAAGAAAAAAAAACATAAGATGCGCGATAAAATGCATTTATTCCATTGTAGCTTTAGATATCTAAAAAATATCCATACATTGATACATACGGCGGGTGGTGACGAATGCGCTTAGCTAGCTTGCTATATAGGCAACATTTATCAATCCTTTATAATCGGCATAGTAAATAAAATAAATAATATTATACCTATTATATTGAATTATTTGAATTATTATGTATATCAACGTGAGAACTTTTCCGCATCATTTGTCTACTCAATATATAGCAATGTTTAAATTATAATAACACGAGCAGTTTTATACTATATATATATATATACTTATCCATGTATATAAATTAAAAAATCTATATATACCCAGCCAGTGGCGTTATTATAAATTTAATTGTTTTTTATTTTATTTTTCAATTAAGACGCATTTTG